AAATAAACATGATTAAAATCCTTTGGACCTAAGTAAGATTGGTAAAAAATTATTAATTACTATTTATTATTTTCTTTTTATTTAATTTCAATTTCTCCTCGATCTGGAAGTATAGTTGACAGGAAGGACCAGTTGTGATCGACAACTTCTACTTTTGTCTCATCATCGATGTCTGCGTTCTCAACCATAGGTGGTGATTCACGTTTTTTTGTCCGTGATACTTCCTCCTCGCTCTCTTCAGCCGATTCGTCGCCACTCAGAGTTCCATCATTCCTAAAAAAACGTGCCAAAATCAACTCGTTCAAATTATTAATTCAAGATTATTTTCTCGCGTCAATCCGCAATCATGCTTTATTGGAATACCTTTCACTTTTATTATCGTCCCCTGATTGAGTTTTCGATACGGAGGACGATAACAGAGACGTGATGAAAGACGCACAGAGTAGCTTCATGGGTGGTAAAGTGTGTGCCGAGACGCTCAGGAGCTGAAATGATAGTCAACAATTAAGAATACTCAATCTCCTTAGTATCAAGATGAACATATGAATGTATGTGACACTTGAAGTGCGTTTACTTCAGCGACTCTATATGACGTTCGTGGCGCCCGATTAAATAATTAGTCGTAAGACTGACGCAGACACCACCCCCGAACGAAAATTTCTGCAATTCCTGTAATCTTCCACTTCAGATCTAGGTTGACACGTCTCTTACAACCTACACGAATATTCTTCTCGGTATACACTAGTTTTCGCCAGACAATTGTTATGAAAGACGTGTTTCATCCAGCAGAAAACAAGCAATATCAAGAAAAATGATGAATCTCCATCCTAACGTTAAGTGTTCCTTGTAGAAAATTCTATTCAATTCATTTACAGTGCTATGAAATGAAATTTCAGTCATTTTAAGCAGAAAACGTTTAATGAATTAATAAATTAAATAATAAGGGCAGGAATAAAAAAATAAAAAGGAAGCAGGGGGCTAGTTTAAGACGATTTAACAAGATTAAATAGAAAAAGATAGGAGCACGCTCCGATACACACCCACACGCAGAACGAACACGATTTTATTAATAGGTAACGTAACAATCAGGACAGCTCCCGCGGGAGATAAGACTTTGTTCCTAGCTTCCCTAACAGGTTCGTCCTGACCTGGTTTTCCCGGAACATTTGCACACAAGTCCGTAGCGGTGTTGAAAACCATCGTTCGTTCGTTCGTTCCATTATACACCGTAACGAGAACTGAATAAAGGAAAGCACCGTCGAAAGTTTCGATTCTCCATCATCGGGTCTTGGCAGAACTTCGTCTTTTAGTTACTCATTAATCTCTCAGAAGAATCGAAAACTTAATTAAAACAGCCTCTCCGCCTTGCGAGAGATCTATCATTCTTATCGGAGCGAGCGCTTTCACGCGTATTGGCACAGTTGGGAAATATTAAAAGGCAAAGGTAACGGCATATTGGAAAATATATCGTTGATATTTAACGCGAAATAATTAATCGAAAAGAGCAGTAATAATTGAGTCGCAGATGCAATTGAAGTAATGTTAATGGAAGGAAGTACAGTTTAAGAAGATGTAAGGAAAATTCAGAGTACTTTATTACGTACGTATCTCTATAACAGTACAGAGCATGAAATGGATGGTAAACAATTAAGTCTACGCGATTCCACAGAATTGACGCAATGCATAAAAGTGAGAAAGCGGTGAGCTAGCGGATATCCGTCAAAGTACCGACGTGGACGTATGCAATTAATTACCGGCTATGCTATTTTACGTCTGTATTTTAGTGACGTCGACTCCAGAATTTAAAAATAGCCTTTTCATTCGTTTCTCATGTAATTAATCCTTTTTATTTCAATAAGATTCGCCTGTGTATAGCATAAATGAATCTTATAACTTTTCAATAAACAAAAATTTTGAATGACATTTACAATTCAACATGCAATACGTGTGAATTCTTCTTAACGTTGTAGTGATCATCACGTGACCTTAAGGACTTAAAAAGCTAATGATGATCCTTAATTTACTTAGCCTCCAGACGTTCGTGGCGATCGCCAAATGGGGCAAGATTTAACATTTAAAGAAGCTGATAATGATAGATATTATCGTGTTCATTCAAATGAACAAATACGGTGAAGAACTACTTGTTGCATGACTCTTGTCACGATAAGGGACACTCAGTTTATTGATTTTGCATTGGCTTTAAAGCGGCGAAATTTCACGATACACGTGGACGTCGGTCTCCTTGAAACCGAACTCCTATTGTTCTGGTGAACTATCGTGTATGGCCCTAATATTAAACGGTTAGAAACGATCTATTTCTGAAGCCGCTTCTAGCTGTAGCCCGTGGAACAATCGTGAATTCCTTATCATCGTAAAATAAAAGTGAAATGAGTAAACGATATATTTTTTCTCTTGGCTTTGTCTACCAACTGACTTATGATAAAAATAATTTGTGGAATCGTTCCACCTACTATTGAAGAATAATTTCTTGGAAGGATTCCTCAAAGTCGGGGTTTTGAATGAGACATCCAGTAACGATTTATGAGTTGGATGATACTTAAAATATTTCATAGACAAGAGCATGTTTGAAAAATCTTGAAATGGAAATTATATAGTACTTTTTTGAAAGACGTCAGGAAAGATTCGCTTGCCGAAGATTTTTCCACGGAAGACAATGCCCTAGGTCAGGGGGATAACTGGAACGCTGTGAGAGGGTGGGAGCGCGGAGATGTAGCTCCTATATTAAATCATGGCGAGGCCACTTCCCAAACTCAGTTCTACGTTGAACGCTCAAGCAAGACACTCTTCCCCATCAAGCAACAAGTTCGCTCCTTATTCAACTCTTTATTAAATAAATTCTGCTGGCTGTTTTTGACTACAATTAAAAGTACGTTAAAGAAAAGAATAAAAGAGGTAAATTAAAATAAAAGAAATTAGCATTTTCTAGGAATGTNTTTTTTAACACATAAACACTCGCCGCTAAAATAATTCTTCAATTTAGTTTTTATTGACAGCATCTTTGAAATATTTTATTGAAGAAGCGGTAGGAGAAGCGAGTTGGTGACTGCGTTCTCAAAGTGAATCTTTCGGTGCATCAGAAGAACAAAAGGAGAATCGGAAAAGGCTTGTTGTCAACGATTTCGGGGATGAAGTTAACAGCGTGGAATTTTGTGTCGTGCATCTTCGTGGCTATCCTCTTTCTAGGGGTTGCTGCGAGTGCACATCCTACTAACAACCCAAAGGTAGTGCGTACCTTTCTTCATGCTCAGTTTTCTTTTTCACTGATGTGAGATGTGAAACTCTTTCAAGTAGGAATCATCTACAAGTCACTTCGTCAGTTTTTCTCAGTTATTAAAATACGTCATCATTTATCTTATTAAATATAACGTATGCTATTCGAAAATTATTTATCTCCGATGCCTGTCGTGTTTCATTCTCGGTATTTAGAAATTTGTTGACGACAATTTAATTTGAACTGAACCACGTGTTGAAAGCGATGCGTGGGCAACTGGTTGGGGCTTTGATCCGTGAACTCGCGGTGAATTAGACACGTAGAAGCTCGTAGGTGCGTAGAGCAATAAAATAGACAAGTCTAGAAAGATGTGACGGTGAATCAGATCGTCAATTGTAATTGGTAATGCGCGGAAAATATCCAGTTGCCTTTAGAAAACACGGAAGCGCATACTCAATTGCTTCGGTAGATGGTACCGTAAATAGAGTACGCATTAGCGAAAATGATCTTTATAATTAATCGCACGATATAAGAAGTCGTAATTAAGAATTTCTTCTGTTACAAAAACTTGAAACAGTAAGAAAATAAAATGACATGCATGTGAGAAGAATCGTGTTATGACTTCGTTTTATCTAAATAATTTACTTATATTTGTTCTACGCTACAATGATCTTTTAGGTTTTATTAAATTTAGCCAATTATTTTTTCAAGATGCATAACTTGGAGGCGTTCGAGAACATGAGACGGATCCCGCAATGGCACTGTCTGCGTTATAGGAAATTCGATCTCGTGCGCCGCTGTCGAAACTACCGCTTCGGAAGGAAACACTGACAACTAGAAAATCATCGCATTCTTGGATCGATAACCGCGACAAACAAATCATTGTACTACATGCTCCCTCGACCAGCTGTTCTAAACGTTCTCTTACAAATGTTCAAACTTATATGAAATTCTAGACAAAATGTAACAATATCTCGATGAGATTCTCATAGCAACTCTCAAATTATTTATGCACATAGAAAACATCAGTCGTATAGATCTAGTTTAATTCCTCATATTTCATCACTTACTTCAAGACTGCTTTCTATAACTTTGAAATTCATCTTCGATGTCCTCGTTGTTTAGATTAGAATGAAAATAAATAAGTAAACAAGAAAAATGCGGACTTACACATGCGGACTAATACAGGATTAACTGCTTAAGTTGTTTCTGCGATACAAATGTTGTGTCTACCGCGTTAAGTCATTATTACTTCGATTGCTATGTTTTTTGATCAATTATTTATACCGTATTGTAACAGGAATTATATGTACATGAACGTTCACTGATCTCATGTTAAAATGAGAATGAGTTTTAGAATAAAGTATTCTTTTTTATCGCAAGAATCGGAAATTTGTATCCTTCACCTGTCGCTTCTCGATATTTAAAAGTATAAATGTACTTACCTCTTCCACTATTCCTGTCCCGGCTTCCCCTAATTGGTCGTGCATGAAGGGAGTGACTGCTTCCTTGTCTACAGTAGTTTTGGCCGCCACTAGATTACTGAAGGCCGTAGCAGGAACGGTTGCTTTTGAGGACAAGATTTCCAGCGAAATAGTCACTTCGGACTCCGGTTCCAAGGTCAATAATTCCTAACAATACATAGAAAAATTATACCACGTAAAAACATTTAGACAATTTTTTACAGCTATATTATTACGTACTTGATTAGAGTCTAGAAAGAAGAGCTGCGACTTTCTTTGCCAAAGTCTATGCGAAGAATCTCGTTTCTCTTGTAAATGTGGCACGAAGGCTGCTCCCAAAACGGAACTGTTATTTTCAATAACATTCTCCCTCGTGTAGATTGGTGTTGATTTTTGCGGTGTGAATATGAATACTGAAAATGAGTAAATTAATATATGTTAATGTATGTAAACAGAAATTAGAACTTACATGAATTGTCAGTTGTAAAAACGGCCATATACGTGGATTTCGGATCTGCTGTGAGAGTTGCAATTTTTAAGGGTACGCTCCATATTAAGGAAAGCGACAGAATGTTCCAAACAGCAATATGGTGAGCGGAAGCTGCTATTACGAGATGACATGCTTCCTGCTTGCCAAATTCAACTCGCCTAATAAAGTAATGATAATATGAACATACTTAGTTGATTTAGAAATTTAGTCTGGTATTGTCCTGCCACTTTTTTTATGAAACTTACATCACTGGATATTGATATTGACTATGTCGAAGACTGTATTTGAATGTACAGGTCTCAGGAATCCATATTGTCACGCTAGAATCAAAACCGATCCCAACTAACGAACCATCTATCGAGAAGCCAGCATCCGATACGAGCAAATTTCTATAATCTCCCATACTATGACACTGCCAATGTTTCGCTTTCTCTGTAATAACGTTTACATACATATATAATGATTTATCATATCGATCATATATATATCGATAAACTGTACGTACTGTGAATAGATGAAGGTTCGACGAGATGCCATAATTTAAATTTTCTATCTCTGCCGGTTGTAACCGCTAATATTTCACCATCATCAAATAACGTGCTCGGTTGGAAATGTAAAGCATTTACGCCACCCTCATGAGGAAGCTCGATAGACGTGTTCAATGTAAATCTAGGAAGCAAATACAACAATCTAAAGACTGTATATGAAAAGCGCGGATTTCATACTTACAATTGTTGCTTAGTGTCGAACATCCAAAACTTCAATCTTACTTCTATACACGACACTTTATCATTTCGTTCCTCGACAGTTGCCATCCACGTACCATCATGATTTAAAGCTATTTTCGTTACTTCTGTGTTCACAATAATTACACTACGTTCTTGTGTTAAAAAATTTTGGGCGGTAATGTTTATCTGAAAGTTTATCGTGATATTAAGTATTTTTATCGATCGTATTAATTTTATCCAATAGATTGCTACTTACATTATACAATAAACTTTTTGTGTAAGTATTATAAAATTGAACGTGCCCGGTGCGGCTATTTAAGACGAGACAGTTCGTACGAGGATCAACAATTAATCCAGCAGGAAACAGATCTTTGGAGGACAGTGCGACGCCCCACGTAAAATTCTGAATTACTGACGTTAATTTTCTTTGTGGATTTACGACTACAATACCTATAATTTTTAGTAGAATAAATAATAATTATATAAGTTGCACCTGCATAAAGCTACGTCGTGATACTGAAGAATGCTCTTACCATTATCTAAAGTAGATACAGCGACATACAAATTATCTGGAGCAATAGTAAGGTGTTTGATGGGTGCAGGAAGACGGGGAAGGAAAGATTTATGATGCGGATTTGCCAAAACCCACTTTACCAACACGCACTCTCCACCTCCCGTGTACATGTGACCGCCTGTAATTATCATCATGCACTTAATTGTTGCCCTAACAAATCTAGGAAGGAAAATATTAAAAAAGTAGATGATATACCTGATTTACTGAATGCTATTTCTGTAACGGGTAATGTGTGCCAGTGATAAACTGCTGTGTAAGGCCTCGATTGGAACAAATTCCTCCAAACTACTACACGACCGGTTGAATCTCCCGTGGCAACACATTCCTCTTCCGGATGTCCAGCTATACATGTTGGCAATCTGCCTGTTTTACCCGTCTTGTGTCTATAAACTTTATTAGTTAAATTACGATATCACAACTGGTTTCCAGTTCTTTCTTAAATACAGATACGTACAATTTGTCAATAAGATTCCTGGATGGATTAAATATGTGTAAATCAACATCATGAAGAAGCGCTATCAGATTCTCTCCATAATTTCCAATGATATCAACGTAATACTCATGAGAATCTGTTCTGTGATAACATATAAGAATCGATAATTAATCTTGAATTTTCAATGTTATTTTGCTATTCAAAGAAAAATTTTACTTACGGTATGCATGTAGATTTTGTACAGTTTCCATGATCAATATCTAACAAAACTATATAGATTTTTGTATTACACTTGGATATATATGTTACAAGCACTTGGCGTAATTCAGTTCCCTTGTGAGTTTTGTAATTTACAATATGAAAGGTTCTTATCT